GCTCTCCTCTCCTTCTCAAGTACAAAGCACATCAGCTCTCTTTCTGAACCAGAAGCAGATCAGAAGAGTCAGGTAAGATTCGCTGCTCTGGGAACTCCTTCCTTTCTTTTCATCCACAATCATCCTTGTGTTATTTGGGTCCCAGATACCTCAGGTTTCCTGGCACAGAGATCAAAACAGATGTGTGGACCACGGAGCCATTTGTTATGGGCAAGAGGCAGACTCCTGAGGTGTGTACATGTCTGAAGAACCATGGAAAACATTGAAAGGAAGATGCCCGTCTCGCACAAGGGGCTTGAGATCTTGGGCCCCCATCTCCCTGACAACCTCACTGTGTCTTGCCGATTTCCCCTCCTCCTTCCCTCCATGCTTTTGGTGTAACCAGGAAAATGCCAAACAATCCAAAACAAGTTCCTTTGGGGGAGCAGTAGTTTAATATAATTTATTAATCTATCAGGCCACTCCATCTCCAAATAGGATTTGACTAGCTTTAAGAGATGTACATAATACCATAGGAAAGATAATAAAGGACAAGGAAGTGAAAACAAAGCCAGATAAAATGAAGCCAGGGATTGGTGCACAAATTGTAAACCAAACAAGTCTGCTCTGTTTTTAGAATTAGATCTTAAATCCCTGAGCCAAAATTTAAGTCCCCAGTGGCTTAAATTTAATCCATTTTAATTTCACAGTCACCAAGAGGGAACCAAAACCAATCACAAATGTCTAGTTTCCATAAGAAGTTAGTTGGTCAAGAAAGGTCCCTGGATGTTTCCCCAGGACACAACAGATAGGCTTAGTGTGAGCTCCTGCCCCTAGTACTGATGCTGGCCCTCCAGCCAGCTAGCCTCATGTCCTCCAGCTGTTTCTGGGAAAGTTCAAGGGCAGGATTGGGGGGTCATGAGCAAACCCTTATCAGGTGCCGTCCACAGAGATGTTTTGCCCTGGCCCTGGGTGAGGTTGACGGTGGGTTTTCAAAGAAGCTTCTCACCACTTCCCCCTGCTGGTCTCTGCTGCCTCTAAATATGCAGAAGCTACTCTGTGGTCTATGACTCCTCCAAAGCAATGAAGCCAAGCCACATTCTACATGGAAGGAAGAAGACTCCTTTCCCCTCTGTGTCACATTTGTCACCTGCCACCAGGTGAGGGATCCTGAGCCTCAGTGACTCTCAAGATTTAGTGACAACTGCTGTGTCAGCCTGGCCTGAGGCTCCTCTCTTCCTTGGGCTCAGATGAGTCTGTAATCCTGCTGCAGGACTAGCCTTAGAGAAAGATCCTTGTTTTCTTAATCTCCCTGCCCACGGTCCTCACCCTCTAGGTGGCACAACTGTGGGATATTTTCCTACAATGAAAATGTGAGAAATAAATGTGAGTTCAGAAATAAGTATCATGTAATGGCAGGCAGGATCAGAATAATCTTTACATACAAAGAGAATCACTAACAGTACCCTGATTAGAAAATCAATGTCTATGTAATCCCTATTCTACTTGTACAGTGAGTTTAGGCAAAATTATTCAATTGGATTTTGCCCTTTACTGTTGATGCTCTTGACTTAACCAAGTGGCTCTTAAAGAAGCTCTCAGCTTTGAGAAGTGGGAGAACTGACCAGTTGTACACTGGAGAAGAACCAGGACCTCTTGAGCTCTCTACCTCTTCCTCCAAGCACCATAGGATGGGGTTTGTGAGATGCAGGCTCCTGCTAGGGTTCCTGATGGGGAGCAGGTAAGAAATATAAGAGGGAAATGAGGGACAGAGGCCCTCCGCTCAGCTGTAGCGTGTGGTGGGGGACATAACAATGGAGGTAAGGAAAGAACCTGCGTTTATCCACCTAATGCATTTGGAGGTAACTGCAGGTTTGCCAAAAATCAGAGTGAGAGGAAAAATTATGCTTTAGCATCATTGTGATCTTTAGACATGCTCGTGGTAATACTGATGTTGGGAGTGTGAAAAGATAAACAGCCAGGAGTCGGGGGTGCAGAGTGGGGCGACTACAATGTCTATCATTCTAGGCTTTGAGGCCCAGTGCAAACCCCTCCTCTCCTTCCCTGGCCTCCCACTGAACATAGCACTAACCTCTCGTAGCAGATTGGGGCAGGGGCTTAAGAATGGTGTTTGCTGCTACCAGGAGGGGGCTAAGCAATGTCCAAAGGGAGGATGAGATCAAAATTGAGGTAAGGGTGCATGATTAATTTTGATTTTAGGTACTGACTCCATTCAGAAAGAGAATCTCCAGCAAATGGGTAACCCCAGGCCGATTGGAAAAGCCCTTAGAAGGAAGAACGTGTGACTGCGGGACTAAGTCCAGGACGAGTCTGAATGTGCAAGTGCAAGGCTCACCGGGATGTGTGAAGGCAGCTTGCTTGGGAGCCACTGAGTGGGTACATAAACACATGTGCCGAATTGGTGGGCGAAGGGTCGAAGACAGCTGTGTGTAAACATGGGTGCTTTGAGGGGCCTGGAGTGACCAAAGCAGGATTGGCCAGCAGGGAGCTGGGCTCCTAAGAGGAGAGGCCAGGACAGGTGGAAGATCTGGAAGTCATCAGTATATAGTGGTTAAAAAAAAAAAAAAAAAAAAAAAGTCATATAGAATGGAGTGAAGGGAGAAGCAAGGCTAGAATAGAACTCTGGAGAACAAAGACCCAGGGCAGCCTGAGAAACATGAGACAACCTGCCACACCCACATCCACTGCAGACATCACTACATTCACCACTTCAAAACCACACCGTCCCCAAAGATGTCACTCCACAAAGTGACTAAACTCTTTTCTGCACTTCCAAGAGTAGGGGAAAGGGTGACACCCAAGTGGGGAGAGGGCTCCATCTCCCCTCCACACACAGCTCAGCTTGGTTTCCACAGCAAAGGTTCCAGAAAACTCACGACTACATTGAGAATTCAGGTGTCAGCAGCAAGGGAGGCAGGGTCCAAAAAATGGTAGGAATACTGGGAGGTGGTATGAGTGGGAGTGATCTAGATCTCCTTTGAGGGGCATCTTCCTCCCCATTTTGGTGCTTCCCAACTTCTGTCCTAGGCCCAATACTTCTTTGAATTAGAACATAATCCCTTTCTCACGAGTTTAGGTACTATGCATACCCAGATAACTCTCTAGTCCTAACCTCTCTCCTAACTTCAGGCCCAGATATCCAAATTCATGTGGTCACCTGGACATCCATTAGGCACCTATCATTCAAAATGTCCCAAACTAATCATTTTCTGCCCTCCTGCCGTATCTGCATCTCCTCGTGTTCCCAGTTCTGAACGATGATACTCCACCTGTCACCCACGGCATTCTGGTTTTCCTCTGCTGTCCCTGAGCCTCCCCCCTTCAGTGTAACCACTGCTGTTGTTCAGACCCTCACCTTTAACTGGAATACCGCAATAGTGTCCCAACAGGCCGTCTGTACTGCAGCACACCCGAGTTCCATTCAACTGTTAGATGTCGACAACGCATATCTGAACAAGTCACACTGGGCCAGGCGTCCAAGCTCCACTCACATGTGACCCTGCCCCAGCACCCCTCCAGTATCAGCTCCCGCAGTTTCCTACCTCCTGGTTTACCCCCACCCTGAACCCGTGCTATTTCTCACCACAACGCCTCTCTCTGGAACCCCCTTCCTCTCCTTTGGGACCCTTCCTCTCTGCTCACTTGAACTCTACATACCATCATTTTATTGCAATTTCTGACATCTGCTGACTTCAACCCAGGGTTTCTCCACGACCCCTACCCCTCAGAGAGCATGTGTGCCAGGAATGGAAAAGGAGTTGACAGACCCTGATCCCAGGTGGGCTGGTTCTTGGGAAGGGAGGTTCTGAGTCAGAAGAAGGGGTTAAGGAGTGATCTCATTCTGGTGGGAGTGGCAGATCTCTCCACTGACTTCCTCACATATGAATAGAAAGTACTTCCCAGGTCTATGTGTCTATGAGCTAACCAGGGTATAAATGGTATCCCAGTGTCATAAGCAGATGTCAGGAGAGGGACTTTTCTTTAAAGTCCTATGGAAACTAAAGTCCTTAGTCAACGTTTTAAATCCTCCTGAGGAGAAACTCTGGAAGCCAAAGTGCTGCAAACCAGAAAACCATCCTGTGTGAACCTTTCTGATTAAGCCTGTCTCATGAGAGGCTGGTCTTAATGGCCAACATTTAGAAAGCACTGGATATGCCTGGGTCAAGATGGCTCAGGATAAAATCGTGCCATGAACCTGAAATGTAGAACAGAGTTCAAACCCTTCTGGAGAGAACCACACACTCCAACACCTTCCACCTCAGTCTTGACATGGGGATAAGGAAAAAAGCATCCGCCATACCAAAAGGGAAAGGGCCAGAGAGGGAAAACACAGGGATGAGCACGGGCGAGGAACCCCAGCTTCCTGTAAAGTTTAACCTATGATCAGCCAAGTGTCACAAGAAGTAAGCCTGGCCCCTGAGGAAAGGGAAATTCTTAAACCCCACTTCCTTATCCAAAGCAGTATTTCATTGGAAGAAACATCACTTTGGATACATATTCTTCCCAGTCTCAACCCACCTACATCTGTCATCCATATTACTGTAAAGATGGAAACTCACATCAAGTGCTTTGGAAATAGGTCAACCTTGCTCAAAGCACTTCACCAATTCTGAATATTCCAAGTCCTTCAATCTTAAGGAATTCTTGGTCTCCACATTTGCTAAAAGGAGAATTCATAAAGTGATTTTAACAGGAAAACTGGTCTACCAAGTGCTTTGAGATCCTGGCACCTGCCCTAACGTGAAAGGGAATTCAGTAGAGCATGAAGAGCACCTCAGACTCTGGAGACAGACAGATCTGGTTGAATCTTCCTCTCCCATTTTCAGATGTGTGTGACCAGTGCAAGTTACTTAACTTTCCCAAGACACGCTTGTCTCTGGGAAATGGAGAGAAAAATGTACCTATCTCCTCGAGTTGTTGTGAGGATTAAATGAGATGATGTATATAAAATGCTTAGCATAGAGCCTGCCAAAGAGCAAATACTCAATAAATACCAGCTATTTTTGCTATTGTTAATAATGATTTTTTTTAATGATGTCTGCTGTTCCTACTCTTTGCTGAGCTTGCAGTGGTATGCTCCAGGCCAGCTCCTCTCTCACCACCAAGTCTCAAAGTTCTCCCATGAGGATATGAAAATGTATGGAAACCACTTCTGATGGGGTGTGTATACATGCAGATGGTGTGAAGGCACAGCAAGAGTTTGGAATCACTGCTCAGGGCTACTGATTTAAATCTAATCCCCTAAATTACCAATTTGGCTCAAATACTGATAAAGTTCCCACATGATAGTAAATACAAGGACAGCCTGAGGATTGCGTGTGGATTTTTTACAGGAGAAAAACTACACTTGAGAGAAAAGTGCCTTCAAATCTGGATCCTTAATATTTGTAATTCACTTCCAAGTCATATGGATTATACCAAAATAACTTCCCTGGGTATACACCAAGCTTAAAAATTGGAAAGTTTCTTTCTAGCATATGTCTTATGATCTTGAAAAATGCAAATATACACCTCTCCTTTGTTGTGAGGGGAGGTGTCTCCTACGATGCTTTCCCTCCTGTGTGGGTTCTCCGGTGGGCACTGAAGTGGGAGCTGTTGTTGAAGTCTTTGCCACACTCTGCACACTTGTAGGGTTTCTCCCCAGTGTGGATTCTCTGGTGAATAATAAGACTGGAGCTCTGGTTAAAGCATTTCCCACACTCTCTGCACTTATACGGCTTTTCTCCCGTGTGAATCCTCTGGTGAGTAATGAGGTTAGAACGGTCACGGAAGAATTTTCCACACTCAAGGCATTTGTAGGGCTTCTCTCCTGTGTGCACTCTCTGGTGTGTGATGAGCTTGGAGCGCTCACTGAAGCACTTCCCACAGTCTGCACACTTATATGGCTTCTCCCCAGTGTGGGTTCGCTGGTGGTTGGCCAGGGTGGAGCTCTTACTGAAGCTTTTCCCACATTCCGCACATTCATATGGTCTCTCTCCAGTATGGATTCTTTGGTGACTAATGAGGGCAGAGCTCTTAGAGAAGCTTCTTCCACATTCAGAACACTGATAAAGTTTCTCCCCTGAATTGGCACTGTGCAATCCAGGAGAATTCAAGTTCTTATTGATACTTTCAGGTTGTTCAGTAGATGTCTCCTCTGTAGAATTCCTCCAATGAGCACTAAAAGATGAGTTTTGACCAAAGTTTTCTCCAGGCTCACTGTATTGGTCAGGATTTCCTCCCAAGTGGATTCTCTGATGTTTCAGAAGGTTTGAGCTCTGGTTGAAGCTTTTCCAACATTCACCACATTTATAGGGCTTTTCCCCTGTGTGGATTCTCTGGTGGGTAACAAGATTGGAATGGTCACTAAAGCTTTTCCCACATTCAAGGCATTGGTAGGGCTTCTCTCCAGTGTGGATTCTCTGATGGGTATTGAGGTTGGAGCGGTCACTAAAGCTTTTTCCACATTCAAGGCATTTGTAGGGCTTCTCACCTGTGTGGATCCGCTGGTGGGCGATGAAGTGGGAGCTCCGACTGAAGCTTCTCATGCATGAGTCACACGTGTAGTGTTTCTCTGCAAGGTACAGGCCTTGATGGTCAATAAGTTTTTCTAAGTCCTCTTCAGAAGAACATTCTTCCCATTGTTCCTGTGGCAGATTTCCCCACTGTCCTTCACTTTCGTTTTCATTTTCACTGTCTTCCCCCCAATCATGAGGTTGGCAAACAGCCTCTGTAGTACACTTTGATAAGGTTCCAGGCAAATTTTCAAAAATGTCCTGCTCTGACATCTGATCTTCATCTTCATTCCTCATCTCAAAACCTGAAAAATGGAAAGAAATGCAATTGTTGTTCATTTATCACCATTTATTTATATATCTGTATCTTGTGTCTTATGAATTTGGCTAACATGAATTGGTATCTTGTATCTTATATCTCACATCTTGTAAAAGTGACTAACATGAAATTAATCAAGTTTTGGTGCACACATACATTTCTCCCTTTTTTTTTTTTTTTTTTTTCCTAAGAGATGACCGGTAAGGGAATCTTAACCCTTGACTTGGTGGTGTCAGCACCACGCAATCCCAAGTAAGCCAACCGGCCATCCCTATATAGGGACTCGAACCCATGGCCTTGGTGTTATCAGCACCACACTCTCCCAAGTGAGCCACGGGCCGCCCCACACATGCATTTCTGACCTGCAAGACTGAGGAACAGAGCCTGGGACATGGTGACCCCACCAAGGGAGCCATGAAGTCCAGCCCAAGCAGCCAGCCAGTCAGCCTCCCCAGACAACTCCCCTATCTCACTATTCGATAATGAACACCTCCTTCTACTAGTACATTCAGTATATTCTATGTCATACAAGATTGAATAAACTCTATAACTGCCCAGATGTATACCTGTAAAAGCCAGACTGACTGACTGTCACATTTGGGGGCTCACGCTAACTACAGACTGGATAGTCTAAGCAAAGCACAAATTCTCCCATTCAATCCCATTCTGTTTTACTTCAGAGATGAAAGATAATGAGGCTGGTTCTCTCACTCTTCCTACATGCCTGTGGATTTTGTGGACATCCAATTACTCCAGGCTTACCCATGTCTGGGGATTTAGGATGTGGGGTTGGAGGTCTGATGGCATCTTCATCGGCCATCTCACCCCAGGCCTCCTGGTCATCAGCCTCAGTACTGCTCTGCCCAGACCTAAGAAGACCTGTGGTCTCCCTGACAGTCCCCAGGGCCCTGACTGCAGTCCGAGCCCTCATCAGCGAGTCCAGCTCCTCATAGAAGGGGCACGTCCCTGGTGGGTGGCTGCTCTTGGCTTTCCGGTAGCTTCGAAGGAGGTTCTTGAATCTGTACCGACACTGCTCCAGGGTCCGCAGGAAGCCCAGTGCACACAGCCGCTCTGCAATGGCCCGGTACACCTGACTGTTCTGGTGACAGGTGCGAAGCTTTTCAGAGAATGGGGACTCACTGAGAATTGCCAGGAAAGCCTTGGTCTCCTCGTAGCCCCAGTGCACACCTGCTGTCAGGAGTGAAGAGTTCAGAGGTGTGAGATTTAATGAGATTTGCCTAGGTTATCAGGGACAGTGGTCACCTACCCTTCCATAATATCTAGAATATAGCCATCTCAGAAACTGTCCAGGTGCCTGGAGACTATCCCTTGCTTCTCAGAGGTGTGCTAGAAAAGTCAGCCAGAACTTCCCAACCCATCCCTTTCTAAGAGATCCTACTAACACTTAGATTCTTGGCTGAAGGAGAGGACTTAGATGGATGGCCCTGCTAATTATGTGTCATAACCCCACTCCCCTGGCTTCAGCTGACTGGTTCAGGGAAAGGTCTGTAATTGGGATCCATATGATTCTCCCTATATCCATTCAATATGTCTCCCCTGCTTACTTTATGAATTCTTCTATTCACAAAACATGTTAGCTGAGAATCCCTAAAGATTAAAGACATAAATGGATTTCAAATAATCCTGCAGTTGAGTCCAGCTAAGGATGTTCTTTCCTCTTTCATAGAGGAATAAAAAGGAGATGGTCTAGTCTCGGTTCCTCTGCAGGTAAGTGATGCAGCCCAGGGAGGCAGCATGGTAGAGGGAAAACCACATAAAACTGGCAAGCAAGAGCCATAGGCTCTGATCCTGGCTCAGCTCCTACCTCTGTGTCTTTAGATATTTCGTCTCTTGGACTTCAGTGTTTCCACCTTTACAATGACTGGATATTTCCAACACATTGATTGTTCAAGTCTATACTGTCATGATTTCTGTTCTGTTTGTTCAATATTTCACTCACTATCCTTCTTTACCTAAATTTACTGTTGTGAAATCACAGGTTGACATGTTCATATACATTAAGAGAAATATAGCCAAGTGTAGCTTAATGACAAGGATACAGTCTGAGATATACATAGTTAGGCCATTTTGTAGTTGTGGGAACATCATACAGTGCACTGACACAAACCTAGATGGTGTAGCCTATTACATACTCCAGTTCCATTATAATCTTATGGGACCACCATCATATATGTGGTCTATCGTTGGCCAAAATGTCATTATGCAGCGCATGACTGTACATAACTATTGGAATTAAAAACTCACTTATGTAATGGCTATGATCATCCCCATACTACCAATGACACACTTTGGGAAATACTATATTTGCTATTTTAAGGTCCCTTACAGCTTTAAAAGTGTTTGCTCCTATAACTAAGAAAACTTGTGCAAGGAGACTTGGTCACAGAAGAGAGTTTGAGGATGACCTAAGGAATTTAGCCTTAAGTCAATCCAGACTTGCAGCATGTGCCCTGATCTCAGGGAACAGCAGTGTGGCTGATAAGAGGGTTGGAATCTGTGTCTGATTAAACCCCATGTTCTTACCAATACGACTGTGGAGTAGAGCTGGCCCCCCTGCAATCCTAGGCCCCTGGGCGGACTCATCAGGGGCCAGGCCAGCACTGTTACAGTCTTCTGCTGTTTCCTCATGCTCCCAGCCACTTTCTTCCTGTTCATCCATCTCTGCATCACTATCCCCCAGCCTGGGGAGAGCCACAGCACCTCCTGAGCCATCTGTGGCTCTGATGGCTGTCCGAGCCCTCACCAGGGCTTCCAGCTCCTCGTAGAAGGGGCAGGTCCCTGGTGGGTGGCTACTCTTGGCTTTCCGGTAATTACGTAGGAGGTTTTTGACCCTATACCGACACTGCTCCAGTGTCCGCAGGAAGCCCCGTGCCCTTAGCCGCTCTGCAATGGCTCGGTATACCTGGCGATTCTGGTGACAAGTCCGGAGTTTTTCAGAGAAAGGAGACTCACTCAAAATTGCCAGGAAAGTCTTAGTCTCCTCATAGCCCCAGTGAACACCTGACACCTTCATGTCCTCCACATCCCATTGGTACTGTTCTTCCCAGGCCCTTGAATCCCTCCAAGCCAATGCCTGAGCTGGTTTTGTTTGCTCATTATCCAGGCTATAATCTGCAGTGTTCCTTTTCTCAGAATTTATAAGGTTTAGATCCCAGAATTCTGGTCCTTGCTCTCGCTGGGAGGTAATAGTTGGTTTTGCAATTGGAACTCCTATACAAAGGGAAGAAGAGAAATGGCTGAGTAGAAATGATTTGTTGAGCAGAGTGTTTGTCCAAAATGTCTCTGAAACTTACATCATTTCCCTGCAAGAAGCTGAGAATAAATTCCCATGTCAATCTCTTAAAATGTCTGGAGGGATGGGGAGAAGTAATTAAGAAGCAACAGGACCGCTTCACCAAAAACATTAAGTGACCTGTTTGCATTGTTCATTTGCTTTGCTATTGTTGTTATGAAACATATCACATAAAATAGTGACTGTTATTGGTGCACATATGGGCACATGACCTAAATTGGCCCAATCAGACAAAATTCCATGGTTGGAGGAAAGAAAAACGGCAGAAAGAATGTAAGTCCATTAGAACATTGCTGAGCTAATTTGTACTGTAATTAGCGCATGTCCTCCTCTGAACTTCTAATAGTGTGAGAAAATAAATTTCCTTATTTTAGAACAGCTATGTCTAAAGGAATGCTGTCCCAACAACCCCCAGCCCTAACAAAATAGGAAGCCTTAAATTAAAATAAATATTTGAAGAAAACTACATGAAAAGGAGTTTAGAGCTAAAAGAGGCTTAAGGATATTCTAATTCAGCATTTCCCAAAGTTTGTTCCTTTGAACACTACTTCCCTTAGATATCATGTGTATAAAAGGGGTTCCACGATTAAGCAAGTAGCCCACAAGCTTCTGACATCTAACTTACCATGAGCCAGACCTATTTACAGTCTCCTCTATTTTGCCCCATTCAACTCCCCACAAAGTGACCCCAGGCTCCACAGGAAAATGGTTCTTTATTACCTGGCTTCCCAACAAGGTGTGCCTACACAGAAAGAAGTCTGTGCTGGTCACACGGGCTTCAAGTATTTTGAGCCCAGTGATACTTATTTCTCATTGTGTTTAATACATTGGTCTCACGAGCTTAGTTCACTTGAGTCTGCCCCTGACAGACAGATCCTGTTTGGTGCTAAAAAGATGAGATATCTAAGACAGCAGGCCAGACCCAGCCCCTGGACAATGATGAATGTTCTGAGGCAATGAAGGGAATGAGCCCCGAGAGAGCAGGCTCCTGGAAGCCATCCTGCCAGCCTCTATCTAGGCACACTCCATCCCTGCCATCACAGTGTTGGCTACAAAGAGCAAGTGTTCTTCCTATCTCTGAAATTCCAGAGACTTCAGAGCCATGATTCTTAAGGGAGTGGCAGAACTCTTTGGGAAGTGAGTACCAGAAACCTGACATGTTCTTCAAAGGGCACATTTCCTTACCCAGACACACGCTGTTCCCACAGTTGTCTCCTGGGGGGTCCTTGCAGAACTCCTTCTCAGCATGCTTGCCAGGGCCCAAGGCTTCCTGTGAGATGCACAAGAGAAGGACTTCAAATGTCACTGGCCCTTGAAAACAGCCTGGGAACCCAACTCTACCTGGCCCCAGGAAGGATCATGGGAATACAGATACCACGTGTGAGACTAGGACTGTAAGGAGTAGCATGACCAGAGACAGGCCCAGCAGACTGAGGGGGGGGGGGGGGGGGGGGAGGGCAAAGTCCAGAACCCTGTGTTTTATGCCCTTTTGCTGAGGAAAGGCCATGAAGAGAAGAGGAGCACTGGGGGGAAGAGCAAAGGAGCAGTAATGATGGAAGAACAAACAGTAGCTTACCTGGGACTCAGCTGTTAACTCCCAATCTCCAACGCTCCCCATCTTTGGGAGAGTAGGGACTCGAGGAGTAAGAACAGCTGAGGAAAGAAAAAGTCTCTGAAACCCAAGCTCTGGTTCCTAAAAACCACCTCCCTCTGAGATCAGCTTTCCAACAGTCATGCGGGGATTAAACTAAGACTGTCCCAGTGCAGATCTCCCCTTTTACTTCCCTTCTAGAGTATGTAGCTAGCTCCTAAGCCACCCTGATGTGCCATATGTGAGATGCCAGCCCTGAACTCCTATAACCACCTGTAGCTGGCACCTGCTGCAAGACTCCAGCTGCAGTGGGGCATGCTGGCATCATCAGGAGCTTCAACCTCCTGAACAATGCTTACTGACCTTACTTCTCAGGAACCGTGTCCATCAGACACTATCCCATCCTTTGCCTTGAAGACTGCACATCCTTCCTCCCCATGTGCCCTTCCCTGCCTCCCACCTCTCCCCACTAAGGAAAAAGGCATCATTCCCTGATGTTCCCAGATTCCTGGTACTCACCACTCTCTTTCAAGGGCTGTGGTGCCATCTTGGCATTTAGGTAATTGGAAAGGTCAGGGCATGTATTCTTCACCCACTGCTTCTGGGACTGTCCCTCAGGCCAGTGATCCATTGGCTGCAGCTGGAAACTCTGAGATTCTTGCACTGCTTTTAAGGACCTGGTCTCTTCTGCACACAATTCCAGTTCCTATACATAGATGGCCAAAAATCATCAGTTCAATAAGACCCACTTTGGTAGGGGAGGGAATATTGGTTCAAAATTCAGAGGTAGAGGCCAACATGTTATTTCCTGGCCCTAAAACCCCAACAATATACCAATCTCAATGCTTTATAAAAACACCTTTTGAAAAATGCATTTCAAGTTTTTCAGTAGGTAATATACTCACATGGTTTACCAATAGAAAATATTTACAAGGGTATATTCAGTGAAAATACCTCACCCCCACCCCTGCCTCTATCCCATCTGCCCA